ATAAGTATCGATATCATTCCAGCACATTGTGGCTGTGGTGTGACTGCATAAAATCAGAAGACTAATGGAGCTTTGGAAGTTGCTTCTGCGTCAAAGGGTCTGAGATGTCCCTCACAATGATGCCATCTCTTCAGTTTTGGAAATTAGCAGGCTGGCTGTGGCCGATTGACCCAACCACATCAATAGCAATGCTGAGCAGTTGTTCCAGGACAAGGAATACATATCATCAAGAAGAAGCCAGCTGGACACCTGACTTACGAGGTGACCAAAGATCATGTGATCTGCCATCACTCAGATTCTGGGAGCTATAGAAGTTCCCTCTCCAAATGGCTACATACAGCCTCCTGTTGTAAAGAATGATGCGTTTAGTTCATGGAAGCATAACATCCTGCTTTATAATTAAAAACATCCTGTTTCTCACTACTTTTCACTCCACACTTCCAAAATACACACACTTTCTAAAATGGTTATTTCTGTCCAGAACTACCCATCTGTCTTTAGGTTGATCACTCCTTTGAGGTAACTTGGTTGTCGAAATTCTCATATGCCATTTGGCAAAGCAATCAGACAACCTTTTCAGTTCCTCACATGTTCGGCCTGGGTAATGCAAACTCAGACTTGGATCCTTATTCAACCTTATCTCCAGCACAGCCCTTTGTCCCTTTTCCTCGAACAGATTTTTTTAAAGCCTCAAGACAATGACAAAACACTGCAATTCTGCAAACAATGGACACACACAAAGAAGCTTTTAAACTTCCTGCTGTTCTAAAATATGGCAACAAGAGATTAAAGAGGATCTGAGCTCTGGATGTTTAACAGCCAGTTAAACAAACACACTTATTAAAGAAAAGTCTCCTAGTCATCCTAAGTAGCAATGGATTCCTATTCTAACAAATTAATGTTTTTCCTTCAGCTACCAAGGCTGGTGAGGGTGTTGCTGTTGGTAGACAGGTATCTTTTATCAATCAGAAGAAAATGCTTTCAAAAGCCTTTCATGTGACTGGCTAGGCAACAAAGCGTGAGTACATTCTGCCTCCAGCACCAGCAATCTTCCACTTAGATCCACAGATAAGCCACACAGATGTTTCTCCACCAGTTTTAGGGGAAAGAGAAAGAATTCCATATGCCAGGAGCATCTGTGTTAACTCCTTTGCCAGGAAGGAAGTGGTGCTCTGTTTTTAAAATAACTACTGTCAACAACGTGATCACAGGCTCATGGAACAAAATTGGGTGTCAAAGTGAGAACAAGAGATATGCAGCCAAGATTGCATTTTGCAGCCATTTTTGGCAGCTCTTCAGCCTAGGTCAAAAGGAAATCCTCCTTCCATATATACTGTTAATAGTTATGAACAGCAGGATGCCCTGTCTCAACCAGCTGCTCACTGACCACAGGCAGCTGGCTCAGAAAGGGCAGCCTGCAGCATACAATGGAAAGCAGGACAGTTGCTTGGTAATATGGCTGGCATTTTGAAATCCGCAAAAAGAGCATGGAATTAGGCCTACTGAGGTTACGCCATCTTGTCTGAAACAAATTCAAGGTTGCAACAGAAATGCTCCCACTCCCAAATGGATATGGGCATGCAGAAAACATGCTTCTAGAAGAGGCTATTACTTCGAACCCTCACTATACATCAAACATTGACCAGTATTTCACATGTTCCAACCCCGTCACTGAAGCATCTTCTCTCACAAAGACAAGTAGCCAAAAGATGAATACAAGGTATGTATCACACAAAGGAGAATGCACTAGCATGAGAAAGCCCAATACAGATCTCTGAGCCTGGCAATGTTGCTAATTTGGACACAACCCACTGGCAGCGAGTCTCCATCATAACTATGCCAACCCTAGCCATCATCTTCTATTAGTAGAAGGTCAACTATCCTGCTTTTTTAGTTCAGTTGAACAACCAGAAGTAGGTCCCCTTGTCAGGCCTGCTGTTAAAGGCCTAGAGTAGCAGCATCAATCCAAAGAAAGCCATATGGAGCAGGTGTGGGGAGGGGGAAGAATAAAACTTTAAGGGTAAAATGGAACAGTAGAGATGAAAGCAGTAACTGGCTTTGTCTTATTTTGTGATTGCTGTTGATCCACCCTAGTTACAGACTTACTCTGTTGCTATGGAGTAAAGACTTAGCCCTCCATGCGTTGCTATGGTGTTTTCTCACTACTTCCTAGTTGTTTATAAGTAGAGAGTTAATCTGTTGTCATATGATTAAAAGTTAGATCATACTGATGTTGCTACTTCAAAGAGATTGATCAAACAAGATCAGGTATTTGATTTATGTATTAACTGCATTCAGCTATCAGGTCAGAGGACTTTCCAACATCAGAACCAAACTCTCAGCCCTCTCGTGGCAATAGATACAGATTAGGTGTACTTATATTTACAGAGGTCTGTCCATCTTCTCCTTGTTTAGAATTTTAGTTCACATTGGTGGCTTACATGAATCCTCCATCTACCCGCATGGTCTAACATACCATCTTCCCAGAAAGCAGTTGTGAAGGAGTGCATGTGAAGCACACTCATCAGAATGCAAAATCCCCTTACATATTGCATTCTTAAATGCTTTTTTAACATTCGGATTACCTAACAAAAATTGTTCTGCAATGTACTTAAACTGGACCCAAGCCCTCAGGCTGAGCTGGTTTGGACACAGCAGCTTAGATATCCTTGACATTGAAACCTTGTCCACTTGAGTATGCAGAGGCACAAACTCAAGCAAAAGCAAACGGAGGGTGGAGATTTACTGATTTGATGCAAGTCCAGTGCTGACTGGCCTCTTAGAAAAAACTGAAAAAAGAACATGAAATCAATTCAGATTTGTCCAAAGGAAAAAGAAATGGCTAAGAATAAAAGTATGAGAAATAATGCAAAGAAATAGTCTTCTTCAGTAGAGACATCACACTTCCATTGCATAAGTGGCAACATCGCAAGGTAGATGGAATGGATTCTTTTAGACTAAGTCCAGAGACTTCGGTAACAGCTATCCAAGCCTTATGATCTGCATAGATGTTTCTTACAATATACTTTCTGCTGGCATTTAAGAAAAAGCAGGCATTCAGATGGGGTTTATACAAGCTCAGATGCATGCCAGATTTAATAGTCTTCAGGTTGCTATGCTAGGCAACATGGCTCATACAAACCACTCAATATTAAGCCATAGCTACTTAAAAATGTGAAAATGCAATTTCATTTCCCACTGACTGCATCTCAGAATAGATCTGTCAAAATCTACAAATACAGAAAGCTACATTTAAGAAGTGTAAAATGGGTGAAATCTATGTTCACTTAATATTTTGCATTTATGCTACCTGACTTCAAACAGTTGAACTCAACCCAGTAAACAACTGATGATAAACATTCCTATTCCCCTCCAGTGGTTCTGTTTTAAATCTCATGACCAATTAAGAAAAAGTCACTGCTTTTTCATGCAATTATAACAGGTGGTGCTCCCTAGCACACACCCAGGGAAGAAACTGGTGCAGGTCTGATGGAGGAGAGATAGGGAAAACTCCCATGAGCAGGAGAAAACCTGTGAGAATATCACTAAGAGCAAAGGGGGTCATCCGTCTCATTGGCTCAGAACTCTTGTCATGCTCCTAATTTCACCAGCTACTCTGACATACGGCATGAAGAAAAACACTGCCACTCACAAATCAGATCCCTTTCTGTCAGAGTATGTTAACAGGATTCCTATACATTTCTTGTTAGCGTTTGTTGTGCTTGCAGCAGGTGCGGCACCAAATTGGAGAAGTCACGGACATCCAGAGAAGAAAGATGTTAACCAAGCAACTTCATCCATTAACCCTCTGAGCGAGGCCACCCTCTCTGTGCGTCCTCATTGCACAGCAGCAGTGCAATATTTTAATTAGCCTCCCTCACCCCTCCTCTCCGCCATCTCTTCCACCTGGCAGTCATTTGCTCCTTGAAAACTATGCACATTTTTCCAAGAGCACAATTTATTTTCCCCAGGAGTCATGCAACAGCGCTTGGTTGTTCTCATCAGGCTACAGCTTCTGTCTGTCTAGGGACTCTCCTCCCTCAAGTCTCTGGGGGACACAATCACAGTCTGACTGGAAAGCAGCATGAGGCTTTCAAGTATGCTTGGAATCGGAAGTCACCACATGGATATTTGTCTTGTCCAATGAAAACCCATTCTGGCATAGGCAACTAGGCATCCCCCCCCCACCCCCTCTCTGAGGAAAGAGCAGTGGAACATTAACAGTTCTGGAAAATATTTTTAGCAGTAGGAAATTCTATTTTATATAGCTACTGAAGAAAGATAATTCAGAAAAAATGCCAAGGGACACAATCCTTCAGTTAATCCATCGATAAAGGGCATCTCAGCCAGTTCATGATTTCTCAAACTCTTATGTTCTTTATTTTGTGGCTTTCACAAGGTACTTAAAAAGCAAATTACTACTTCTGTGCAGAATATAATCGTGTATACTTTAACCAAGCTATTTTAGAGAGTAAGGCTGCAGACAGCCATGCACTCAATTTCTATGGGTGCTTACTTGAAAATGAGTCCCACAAGTTCAGGTGGATTATTCCTAGGTACATAAGCCTAGAATTGCAGCTCTGCCATCCCAATGACTGGGCTGCTTTTCGCCAACCATGCACCTCGATTCCTTCTCGATGGCCAAGAAGCTGTCCCATGCTGAATTCAGCTGGTCCAGCACTGACAACAGGATTTCAGCAGAATCCCTTCCTGGTCCTCTCTGGAGATGCCAGAGAGGACGCGATCTCTGGGACCACCTGGATGCAAAGCAGGTGTGCTGTCACTGAGCTATGACTCCACAAGGGTATTACTCAAATCGGTGCCTCCAATCTGATCTTCAAATGGCCAAGCTACACTGGTAATGCCAGCCTATGAAACACATAAAATACAGATGTGACCAGATGCAGTGAGAAGGGTACCATCCAGACTCTGCTCCTAACAATGAGAATAACAAGAACAGTTTTTCAATCTAGGCCCTTTCCAGCCGAATCAGTCCCTACCTGCAGCTCCTTGTCAGAGTATTTCTGAGGATTCTTGCTCCCTTGACTCTTCTTTCGAAGCTTCTTCAGTTCACCCTGGCATTTCTCTAGTGAATCGCCTTTATTTCGTTGTTCAGTCTGGTACTTCTTCAGCGCAGCCTGAATGTAGAAACAAGTGTGGGAATGCTGAACAGCTAGTAGAGACAAGTCTAGATTTCCTTCGCTTTGCCACACTCCTAAGGAGCACCATCAACACCCTCCCCATAGGCAAAAAAAGCCCTGACCTCACACCAGAGAGCATGTTCTGGAAGAGTGCAGTTTAGAAACAATGGCTACCTTCCTGTGGGAGAAACACAGACACAGACACAGACACACACACACTCCAAATAACCTAAAGAGCAGGGGCACCAGTTGCAGAAGCTTTATCAGCAGACTTAAAGTCTTAATGCAACATGATGTTAAGATACCTGCAAGGGCAACATTTGGCTTTGAGAAACTTTTCCCTTGCTTCTTGTGAAAGCTCGCTCTGAATTCAGAGGGTTTAACAAAGAATTATAATCTGAATCAGCATTGTTTCACAGGTACAGATTTGAGAAGCAGAAACATCAAAGGGAAAAGTCCCACCACCAGCACCAATACCTTGGTCCAGGATTGAAAAAGAAATCCAAGAATCTCATTGGTGGGAGATCCAGGACAGACAAAATAGGAAGTAGCTCTGCATAGTTCAACTACAGGACGTAGTGATGGTTGCCAATTGGGATGGCTCTCAAAGGGGATTGGACAAATTAATGGAAAACAAGCCTAGTCATGATGTTTTTATATTACTTCAGCATCAGCAGCATGCTTTTCAATACCTGTGGTTAGGGAACAAGAATGGAAGGCAGTACTGAATTCTTGTCCTGCTTCTGGGTTATCACTGGGGCACCTGGCTGGCTACTGCAGGAACAGAACACTGGACTGGAAAGGCCTTGGCCATGATTCGGGAGAGTTCTTTTTAGGTTTGAATGTTTGCAGTCTTGAAAGGCACAATTCCTTTGAGACATAATAAATCTTAACTGCCATGCCTACTGTATGCCTAGATGGTGACTGGTTTTACGTATGATAACCCACTCCGGTTTATAAGCCACAGTAGGTTAGTGTGTCATACAAACACAACACTTTTTCTGAGGGGTGGCTTATAAACCACCCCAGTTACCCATGGCTTGTGGTAGGGTCAAATTAGCCCACCATGGTTTAGCTAAGGAATTCTGCCAGTGGACCAAAAGGAGAAGGAAAGATGAAGAGCAGCGGGAGCAAAGGTCACAACCCCCATCATACCTAATCATTTGACAGGCACAGGATAATTTTACCCACAAAGCATGGCTAAAATTCCCAGGTAGATTGCCATTTAGTGTGACCCTGCCCATTATCTGATTATACCCCTGCACAAATGAGAAAAAGAATGTGGAAAATGCTGAATTTGAAATTTTATTTCTGCTTGGATTAACCAAACTGAATAGAACAGAAACAACTAATCCCAATTTAGAAATCTTTCAAAGTCATTTCTTCAATACAGTTTCCCAGAAACTGTTTGCAGTTTTTGGAATAGCTCAGTGGAACTCAGTGCTATTCCAGGTATATCCATAAATAATAATTTTGGGGTTGTGGGAGATAGGAAACACAATAAACTGTTTTCCAAGCTTCTCCAACTCATTTGAAAACTTTCTGGATCTCCCAGGTTGGCCAGGGGTGAGAGTGGGGAGAGAACAGAGGGAGTAAGAAAGTTCCTCTTTCTGTCCCCAGACTCCCAGTTGAAGGTCAGAATATTCGCAGGAGTCAAGTATACTCTTACCCAATCCCACTTCTATTAGCACATCCCAAATGATTCTGGATCGAGTACAACATCAAACAGCAGTGTAAACATAAAACTGTGTTAAGCCAACTTCAAACTTATGTGGCCTGTTTTAAAAACAAACCCCTCACTGTGCTTTTGAATTTAGCACATGCTTAGGAGCTCTTAAAAGTTAACATATAAGTCATAAGAATCAAATGGGTATGACTAGGCACTTTTCTTTGAAGTGTAAGAACGTAAGAGATGCCTTGTGGGAGTATATCAAGGCTCAGCTAGGCTAGCACTCTTTGAAGGAAGCCCAGAAACCAGCACGTCAATGTAGTCCACCACAATCACAACTTACTTTCCCCCTTTCTTCATCTTTGAGCAGCTGAAACATTTCTAGTCCTGCCAACAAAAAGCTACACCAGCATGATCTAATTTTCATTAAATACTGGTTGCATGCCACTTACACTTAGATACCGTGAATCCAGTTCCACTTTCTGTTCCAGTTGTGTTAGTAGTTCATTGTGGAAGGACTTCAGCTGAGTACCAAAAGAGAGTAAAAAAAAAATTTATGTCAATACTGATTTTCAGTACATGAAACAGGAAGATGTGCAAAGAGGGGCAACTAATCTGGAAGAAAATACAGTGGTACCTCGGCTCACGAACATCCTAATTCACGACCAAATCAGGTCGCGAACAGAAATTTCATGAAATTTTGCCACAGGTCGTGAACTCTGCATTTGGTGACAATCACTACTGGGCCTGTCTTCCCTGTACAGGCGCGTCGGCCGGGGGGGGGGGGGGAATGGCCGCAATTGCACCCGTGTTCCCTGCCCAAACGCACCTGTGCCCGTGCCCGCCTCCCCCACAGCACGCCCATGCCTGCCTCCCCCCGAGTGCATCCGTAATCGCGCCCACCTCTCCCCAGCATGCCCACGATTGCACCTGTCTCCCCCACCCCTATGCACGATCACTGGGGGAGGGGGAGATAGCCACGATCTTTGTTATTCATTGTCACTTTGCTTCAAATTTTTGTGAATAAAAAAAATAGTTGCAAAACAGATTAACCTTATTTACATTGACCCTTATGGGGAAATTTGACCTGGCTCACGACCATTTTGGCTCACGACCAGAGTCCTGGAACGGATTAAGTTCGTAAGCCAAGGTACCACTGTACCAAAGGAATTTTTAGATAGAAGTAAGTGAAACAGAATAAACTTGGATAAACTAAAGTTACTGCATAAGGCAAAGAAATGCTAGGATAGACAAGTTAGCTCCAGAAGATAAACATATGAGATAAACAAACAATGTACAGTTATAAATATAGGGTCCTACTTTACAGAAGTCGATCCTCTATGAGAATGGCTGCCCAATCCATGTCTGGATTAAAATCAAAGAACTGTAAAAGGAGGGAAGGCGGGGGCCATGAGCTTGCCCATCAACGGTTGTTAGCACCTAGACAGCAGACTGAGGGGCACCTGCCCATGTGCATATATTGCACATCTGCTTAAAATATAGTAATTACTAAAATGCCATCCAATCCTTTTGAAGATCAGTATTCTCTTTTGTGCCAATGCCTAAGCGGCCAACCTACTTATAGGCCAAGGTGTGTGCTACAACGATGATGCACAAATACTGCTTCTTTTATCAGATAAAGAATCACAAGGAAGAATCAGCCCCCTATTGCAACAAGGAGCTTCCCACATTCCTTTTCTGCATGAAACCAATTGGTCAAGCATGAATCTTGGCTTGAGATCAGTTTTTGTTGCAACTTCAGTTATTTCTTAGACATTCCAGAGGCCAGCACATGATTTAGAATTTTGTTTGGCTAAAGGCTTATTCAACAGAGTTTCTTATTCTTATTTAAAATGCTTGGCAACTATGCTACAACAGATGTATTTTAGATCCACGTGTATAAAGAGAATTGCAGGCTGCCCCTTGGCCAGCCTCTGCAAAAGGGACATATCAACAGGAAGCAAAGCACTCACCATCTCTTCTAACTGATTCTGAATCTGTCTGTGGACTTCAGCCATCTGGAACAGAACATCCCCTAGAAAAGGCAAGGCAAAAGTAGGGAGTAAGGGAGACCATTTGAGAAACCGCTCTGCATTAACCTTCTCTTCCCCCCACATCCTAGACTCTTGATCTATAGTGCTGGTTTAGGTAAATCACTTCCATTTGGATGAAGCCTGAGGCCTGGGAGGCCTTGCCTCAGTCTCAGTCCACACATTCAGCACATGCTCAAGGTTTTCAAACAGAGAAACCTGGGAAGGCAGGAACAGTGGACATGCTGACCTGGGTGCCTCACGGTGCATGCATAGATCAGACCAGAAGATGGTCACTCTCCCACCATCAATGCGATGGAAGAGGCTGAGTATCCCAGCACAGACAACACCACTTTCTGCAAGCTGCTTATTCCCCTGGGATCCCTCTTCCAGTGATCCTGAAGTAGATGAATTGCCCATTTCCACAGCAGAAAACGTCCCCACTTCCTCAGAATTTTACTCAGGAAGGAGCTATTGCCTCCCTTCTTACCCATGTACCATATGGAAGGCGTCTTCCAGTTGGGTGCTCAGCTTTAGCAGTCTGCTTTCATATATACACATACATGCTCTCTGGACAATCCAGCACCTACAGGCTACAGCTGCTCTCTGCAAATTATACCTAAGGACAGCAGAGCACCCAAAGAGCAGCAGTGGCAATAATGTTTTTATGAGGACCAACTAAAATGTCACAGAACAGCCAGTGAACATTTGGGTGTACCACAAATCTTCCTCAGGCTGGGATGTTAAGCAGAAACAAATATGGGGAGAGATGAAAAGATAAAAATCAGAAGTCTGTACTTTGCAACAGACTTAAGATGGAACAGGGGAGTTGTTAGGTTAGACTGTGCCTGGCAGAAAAAGATCGCAAGCTTCAGGAAAGTGGGGGAGCAGCAGCTACTCTTCCTTAAAAAATATAAAAGTCAACTCAACCACACAGTCTCACGCAGGTTCTTTTAAGGCAGGCAATAGGGAAAGAAGGGAAAATGTGGTAGCCTTCATATTGGCAAAGCTGAAGATTAATTAACACACACCATGTAAAAGGGTCCTATGTGACCCAATTAACACTAGATATACATCCAAATAACTGCTGGTTTTAATATTTTCAGAGGGAGAGAGAATCTATTGCTTCTTTGCCCCAGTAACTTTTCTTGCAACCTGAGATGATTTTGCACGAGGAAGGAGCCTAACTGCCCCCATTCCATTTTTATTGCAAACAGGAGTGTTTGGCTTTTCATTATGCCAGATAAAACTCCCCCCACCCCCCTCAGCCACACACACTTTTGTTGATGTGTTCTGACATCCAGCACAAAGAATTCTGGAGAACTCAACTGCGGTTTTACTACTTTGTGACTTTTTTTAGATGGTCCTAATACAACTCCATGGAATGCTTGGAGTTGCAGTCCAACATATCCGGAGGTTACCAGGTTGGGGAAGGGCGTAACAGAGACATGTGACTGCCTGCTTCCAATTCCCCTCTTTCATATCAGTGAATGCATGGGAAGACCATTTGGGAGAGGGTTCTCTAAGGCTAGGAAGTACTGCAGTGGCCAGAAACAAACAAGTTTTGGAATCAACATGTATTTCTTTGCCCCTTAACTTCTACTTGCTCAACCATCTTCTCCTATGCAGAGCTCAGCTCACAAATGGCTACGCAGCAGAGTCCTATGCGCTAGTCATCCACACTGCATAGCTGCAGAAAGAAAGCTACCACTGTAGTGCAAGATCACCCTGATTTGCTCAACTTCCCACACATTCACCATCACATCGACTTCATTTACCAGCACCTTGTTCACTTATACCTCTCAAAGGGTTTCATAACCGTCATTGTGTTGAACTAGGTGTGTCTAACCTCCTTCAGTACAAGGGCCAAGTTCCATTTCAGAGAGGCCCTTGGGGGCCACTGGGCCGCAATGGGCAAGACAGAAGGGGGAGCCAAAAACGTCGACACATTTTAGCTTACAGTTCCTCTTGCCAATAACTAAGCCTTAAGAAAAGCATGAGAGCCTTTTATAATACGCAAAATCTGCATGGATTCTGGGAAACCCCCAAATGATCAGTGGCTGGCAAAGAGGCATGGCTGTCTGGGAATCCCAGAGGCAGAACTGAGACCCTAGAGACATGTCTTTTCCTTTAGCAAATCCCTAAGCTCAAACAGAGGTCACACTGTGACAGTATGTGCACCACTAAGGCTCAGTTACTTGCACCAGTCTTTAAGATAGCATTGTCCACTAGTAACTGTGCTCATAGAATAGAGAGCATGGGGAGCCTTAAGACAGCACGTCTGCTCTCTACCATGTTTTCTCCTCCCAAACACTCAAGGCAGTCTTTGCTAGCTTACCAAGATGCTATGAATAACCTGACATAGATAAACAAGCAAATTGAGTAAATAGATGGGAAGTCTTTGGGGAGAAAATGATGGAGGTTCATTTCTTTTACGGCTACTAACAACTACTTTTGATTACAACAGCTGCACATGGGACTCAAAAGTTTTTGCTATCTGCAAGGAGGCACCTTATTAGATCTCTGAAATATGCCCCGTAGTTTTACAAGCATCTTCCACCCAATATTTTTTAAAGCATTGTTATCTGACAGTACATGGTGAAATTTATGCTCTGGAATTATTCTAGCTGCAGACTCGAAAGCCATTTCAGCTCTGGTTGTGATCTTGTCATAGTCAATAAAGGTAATTAGGGTCAGACGTGGCCACCACCGGTGTGGGAGGCCCTAGCGATCCAGATACTACTGAATTATGCCTCAGTACAGGGGCTTGTAAAAGAGTACTGAAGCTGAAGAGGTTAATTTTGGATGCTGCCTTATAGATTTGCCATTAAAACGAATGAGAAAGACTCTCCTGCACTTGCTGCCAAGTGTAGGAGAAGTCAGTCATGAAGGTATGCCAGCAAATTTAGGGGAGGATAATTCATAATTCCACTGCCTCAGGGAATGACTTCAGCAGATCAACAGACCCTTCCTTTTATTCCAACAGACTCCAAACACCATTCTGTCAGGGACTCTCAGTATATGTCGTTTCTTCTGTCTAATGCAGCACTATGGATAAGCATAGAGCAGACAAGTTCAAATGGGGCTTCTTCCACACACACTCTGGATGAACCTTCCCCAGTGTGGGGTTCTCCAGATGCATCAGGCTACAACTCCCAGTTAGGAATGAGTGGACTGTATTAAATTCATTTCATCAGAATTTTGTGAATTGTTGAATTTCTTTTGTTTCATTATTGGCTCACTGACACAATCAGATATTTTAAAAATCAGAATTTCATTCTACTTCTCTACATTAATGCTAATGCACCCTTGTGCAAACTGAGGGTGTGTTAAGCCACTTTACTTCACCCAAAGCTCCCAACTCAGATGTTTTCATCTCCCTGCCATCCAGGTCATGTAAAAAACTTGGGCACAGACAAAGATGCATACCAGAGGGTTCTGGGAAATCTCCACTTTCATGCTGAGGCCACTGGATACAGGGTGGCTCAGCCCTTCATTGCTACCATGACAATCATGGCCCAATGCCTATAGGAGTCATGGTCAAATCTCTTCCTATTGAGACTTAAACCTTCAGCAGCCTTTCTTCTCTGCTAGGGTAAGGACCTGTTAAAATGACTGCCCTCAGAACCTAAAGGATCCTGGTGGATTTCAGAGGACTCCAGGGGATTTCTCTGCTGATATGCCTGGTAATCCTGCCAAAGCCCTGGTTACTCTGTGGAATGCAGCGCTGACTAGACAGTTAATACAATCCCTCCTTCTCTGAGGACAGCTTAGGCAGGTCCAGCTTGAGTTGAGGGCAATAATGCAAGAGTCAACGCCACTGGAACAGAGTTGGAGGAAGACTCATGCCAAAACTGTCCAATCACAAGTTAGAATTTATTACAGAGCCAGCTCTGGCAGCAAGTATGGGCACCATGTAGGGGAAGGCAAAACTAGACAGTCAATAAGCCCTGTTCTCTTTCAAGCTCAGTTCTTCCCTCATCCTGGTGCTGTGCAGAAGTAATACCCTGGGCTTCTAAACATGGTTATGAGATGCAAAATAATTTTGATTACTAAAAAAACAAACTCTAAAAGAACAAAACCCCAGAACTATTTAAACACAAGCATTATTTACAGCAACAGGGCTCACCAAAAAAACAACAACAACTGCATTTGGGCAAAACCATTTTGACATTTCCAAATTCTGCATGCCATTCTAAAATCTTCCATACTTTCAACAAACCCAATGTATATTTACCCTCAAATCAAGGACCTTCAGTTTAACAAGGAAGGGGAATTTCTCATTAACAGCCCCCCCAATCATGAAACAAGCTCCTCCACCAAGTCCTACCTAGCACCAACTCTGTAATCCTACCAGTGCCAGTTCAGGACTGCCCTCTGTGGTAAGGCACTTAATGGCATTGGCGGGATGCTTATAGCTGCAGTGATCTAATTTACTGAATGCGCAGAATGTGTTAAAATATGCAAATAGTTTTAAATTTGTTTGTAAATTGTATATCTACCCAGAGAACTTCAGCTGTTGATAAGTATATTTTTAAAAAATCAACAAATTAATGATCTGTATTTAAATAAGATCATGCATTTTCATAATGACTATATTCATCACACAATATCTTAGCCTCAAATACACCAAAACATTTGTGTTCTATTGCTAGTTTAACTATGGCTGTTGACTATAGCATGTTTAATTGTTTGGCTACCTGCTGTCTGACTGCATGTTATCCAAAAGCTCACCATTTAGGTGCTTTTCTGACAGGCTGAAGGAACTGCAAGATAAATTAAAAGTTTAAGAAAAGCAGCAGCACCATTCTTTGTTAGGAGCACTATCAAAGCTACCCACTCTGGAATCTGGGAAAAAGAATTTGTTCAAGGAGCTACTTGGCCCCCTTCTGACATCAGGAATCAGAGACCTGAAGACCATTCCATGAACTTTTACCATGGGCTCCCATACCTCTTGGGCGTATGCAGAACCTGAAGCAAACACCTAATGGGTGCTTCCCTCCCT